GACAAAACCTAGTTTAGCTGAAGCTAATTGGTCTGATAACAGTTTTCAAAGTAGTGAAAAGGCCAATCACTAAATAAAAAGTTAGTTCCTTTGTTCGCTGTTAGTGGAACCATGCCCACTACCGCCTTTGGCCTTTAATTGGAAGTCACAAGAGAAGTTGTTCAGCTATTCCATCAAGTCACGTGTCCCTTCTAAAGATGGATCTGTTCTTGTCAATTTATTTTACCTAAACAGACCAAGTATGTATGCCCATGTATGCACAGTACAAATTCAAGGTACAGTTAAATATACGTAAAAAGACTTCAGTCACACAACAGGAAATGGATAGATGGTTGGCTAAAACGATACATTCAGCTTTCCCTTGAAGGTCCTGATGCATCTCAGAAATCCAGGTAGAAAAAAATCAAAAAGAAAAAATAAATAGGTCCTCTGTATGGATTCTTCTTTAGTGAAACATTTCGTCTCTCCTCCAAGAGACTTCTTCAGTCTGAGGAGTTTCAGGTGAAACTCAACCTTATAAGCACTGCCTCCACATGGACAAACAGGTTAGTCCCATGCAAGAGAGGGCCATCGCCTAACAATAGGCTTGATTAGCTCTATTGTTCATAGAGGGTCATGTGCCCCATCACCTGATTTATTGGTTTGGATGCTTCGGCTGTGGTCATTTGGTGTTTTGTTATGTGTATGTAGTGAGTGCAAGCGGGGTTCAACGTCCCATTGTTTTTGTCCCCTTTTTCTTATTTGTGTTGGGTATCGTTGGGGCCCTGATTCACACCTTTTGCTCACAGGGGGCTGAGTCATACTTGCAATAACAGCATTGTAGCAGGAAGACAACTAGACATGAAGGTCTCCACCTCTGTTTGATRGTGGACAGTTTTTCTTCACAAAGATGGCTTCCTTTACTCCTCTCTCAAACCAACGTTCCTCTCTATCAAGGATGAGAAAATCTTCGTCCCTGAAAGAGTGACCGCTGGCCTGTAGATGAGTGTAAACTGCAGAGTCCTGACCCGACGAAGTAGCTCGTCTGTGCTCGCTCTTTCTTTGGAACAGTGACTGTTTTGTTTCCCCAATGTATGACTGATCACAGTCCTCCTGACACTTAACAGCATATACTATATTACTACTGTATATTACTGGTATGCTCTCACCACCCTCAGCAAGGACAAGAACATCATCATCCTCCCAGCAGACAAAGGAAGGTGCACAGTGCTATTGAACCAGAAAGACTACCATGAGACGGTTATGACACTCCTTAGTGACAAGACTTCATACGAGCCACAGAAAAGAGATCCAGGAAGTGGACACAAGAAGAAGCTGACAGAGTGCCTGAAAAAGTTAGAGCAAGACAAGGCTATTAACCACATTCTGTACCACACACTGTACCCAGGTGAGGCCACTCCCAGTCTGTATGGTTTACCCAAAATTCACAAACAGGATGTACCGGTAAGACCTATTGTTATCATGATTAACTCTATCACTTACAATGTTTCCAAATATCTAGCTTCAGTACTTGGTCCATTAGTTGGCATTTCAGACCATCACATACAGAACACCATGGACTTTGTGAACAAGGTGAGGGATGTCATCATGAAGACGGATGAAACTATGGTCTCCTTTGATGTCACATCACTCTTTACGTACGTTCTTGTTGATAAGGTGGTGGAGGTGGTCGGTGTAAGATTAAAATCAGACACCACTCTTAGCAGCAGAACCACTCTTTCCACAGAACAACTGTGTCAACTTCTAAAACTGTGCCTGGAATCAACCTATTTCACATTTGGGGGGCAATACTATAGGCAGATACATGGATGTGCAATGGGCTCCCCAGTTTCCCCTATTGTTGCAAACCTGTACATGGAGGAGGTGAAAAAGAGAGCTCTGGTGTCCTTTACAGGGACACCACTGAGCCATTGGTTCAGGTATGTTGACGACACCTGGGTTAAAATTAAATCCCAGGAAGTCCAACATTTCACTGATCACATCAACTCTGTGGATAAATATATAAAGTTCACACGAGAGGATGTATAAGATGGCAGGTTGGCGTTCCTGGACTGTGAGGTCTCAGTTTCTGATGGGGCACGGTTAGAAACTGATGTGTATCGCAAACCCACACATACAGACCAGTATTTGCATTTTGATTCCCATCACCCACTGGAACACAAGTTAGGAGTCATCAGAACTCTGTACCACAGAGCAGACAGTGTCCCCACAAACATAGGAGCCAGGGAGAAAGAGAAGTCACACACAAGACAGGCCCTGGAGCTGTGCGGTTATCCAAACTGGGCTTTTCTGAAAGCAGACAAGAAACCCAAACAGGAKTCCAGCCAACAACCAGCTGAAAATGAAGACCCTAAACCCAGACCCAAACCAGTCGTCATTCCATATGTGGCGGGAGTTTCAGAGAAACTGAGACGTTTATTCTCTGAACTTGACATCCCAGTGGCTTTCAAACCCCAAAACATGTTACGACAAAGATTAGTTCACCCCAAAGATCCAGTTCCCCAGCAAAAACAGAGTAATGTATTATATGCTGGTAAGTGTCAGGAGGACTGTGATCAGTCATACATTGGGGAAACAAAACAGCCACTGTTCAAAAGAATGAGCCAGCATAGACGAGCAACATCATCATGCCAGGACTCTGCAGTTTACACTCATCTACAGACCAGGACTCTGCAGTTTACACTCATCTACAGGSCAGCGGTCACTCTTTCAGGGACGAAGATGTTCTCATCCTTGATAGAGAGGAACGTTGGTTTGAGAGAGGTGTTAAGGAAGCCATCTTTGTGAAGAAAAACTGTCCACCATTAAACAGAGGTGGAGGCCTTCATGTCCATTTGTCTTCCTCCTACAATGCTGTTATTGCAAGTATGACTCAGCCCCCTGTGAGCAAAAGGTGTGAATCAGGGCCCCATCGATAACAACACAAATAGGAAAAGAGGGACAAAAACAAGGGGACGTTGAAACCCGCTTGCACTCACTACATACACATAACAAAACACCAAATAACCACAGCCGAAGCATCCAAACCAATAAGTCAGGTGATGGGGCACATGACCCTCTATGAACAATAGAGCTAATCAAGCCTATTGTTAGGCGATGGCCCTCTTTTGCATGGGACTAACGTGTTTGTCCACCATGTGGAGGCAGTGCTCATAAGGCTGAGTTCACCTGAAACTCATCAGACTGAAGAAGTCTCTTGGAGGACAGACGAAACATTTCACTAAAGAAGAACCCATCCAGAGGACCTACTTATTTTTTTTCTTTTTGATTTCCCTTGAAGGGTATAATTATAGTACCTTGAATGGCACATTCAAGTACATTCAGTGGTACATTTTTGTATTTATTGTATGTACATTTAATGCAAAAAATACAAATAATATATCTAAAACCAATTTCCTAGTGGGTTGCAACTGATGGACAGTGGGTACTAAATAGCATTTAATTGGAGTTTAATACTCAAACGTTCTCAGGACTCTCAAACTCTTAGAATTTGAGCAGCAAAGCAGACTTCTTGATTTTTTTTTTTACATCATCAAAAATTGTCTTTCCAGATTTGAATCAGGTTGCCAACAAAGGCATCCATTTTTAAAAACTGGCTGCACAAAATGCTTGCAGKTTACTTGGTCCCAAATACCAACTGAATGAGACTGCAACTGAAAATGTGCCTGTTTTCTCTCGCCAGCTTATCTACAGCAGTTGCAACTCAGTGAGATACTGGCTTTAGGTTGCAAAGAATGTGCAGTTGTTTGTGGTATATTACCTATATTCTTTTAAATATAGCTGAGATGACATCCTTGAATCATTTTCTGATCTAGTCTGTGACAATCAACAGTAGTCAGAATTTTTATACATCTGAATAATTAAAACTAGACTTTACAATGGGTTTTTTTAAGACAAAAAGTATTTAACTGTCATTGACTATAAATCAGCACATACTAAAGATAAACATTACAAATATTTTGCATCCATTAAAATATTTGTAGTAGAGAGATTTCCTAAAATTATGGGCTGTTTTTGCAAGGGCAGCTTGCATTCCTTCATTGTAATGTGTGCCTCTGAAAACCTTCAGTGTTTACAGCTCATTAGCCTTGAGTCTACATTACTAAAAGAAAATGAATGTCAATCTCCCTGGGGTGAATTTGTAAAAAACATAAAATAAAAGAGGAGAAGGTGAAATGGGATTCGGCCTGGGYGTTCTGTAGCTAACACAGAGTTTGGGTTTTAAAAAAAGGGCACATTTTTTTCTGCAGCCAGTCTTAGAAAAAAAGCATTACACCCCATCATGGCGAATGGGGGAAATGGGATTGAGACAGTTCTTCATACAAATATCTGAGGATGGGAAATGAAAAAGGGGTGTCGGGTTGGTGGTGGGAGTGCAGAAATTTACTGAAGAACAGAATGTGATTTTCTTTTACGAGAAAGAAATGAAAAAAGAGGAGGTAAAAGAGGGTGGGGGCATGTTTATCACTATTCGAGAACAATCTTACACAGCTTTCTTTTTGTAATTTTTTTTTCATGCAAAAATCATGCGGCCAATTTGTTGATGTAAGTGACCTGAACCTCGTGGTTTGCTATCTTATTTAACCACTCACAGCAAAAACACCTGAGAGCTAGAGTTAGTGTAGGTAAGACTATAGGAAGTTAGCAGTTAWGGATAGGTTTTATAGTCCAACAAATGTTAGATTTTTCAGTGTTGTATGTAGAATACTTTGATATGTGAATGCTATCTTCTAGGTCTAACAGAAGCAGGTCAGAGCAGTCAGGAAGAGAAATAGCAGTTTATTAATTCTTGTACTAGAATACTGCAGATTAGATTTAGTAACATGTTTTTAATTTAGACCAGATTAGACATGTGTAACTAACCTCATGTTAAGCTGTAGTGCTGTTCTAATACTGGTGTTGCTGTATTCATTTGAACTGAACTTTTGTTGCTCTGAAGGTGGGCTCCCTCTCTCAGGTGGTCTCTAACATATTTTTCTTCCGTCTCTTTCTTGTCCTAGGAGGTGAATTAGTGTTGCCCATTATAACGGTGGATTCCCTAGACCCCCCATCAATTGCCACCCGCTACCCAGTACTCCCCCCGCCCCCCACCACCTACCGCCCCTTCCTCACCTTGCTTGAAACCACCAAAGAGTCTGTCCCCTTGCCCAATGGCCGGCCCCCCTGCCCCTTGGACCAAGAGGACTGTGAGGAGACCATTGAGGTGTCGGCCTACGGTTCGGGGGAGATRACCGAGACGGATGACGAGGACTATTATAAAAACTTCCCCCTGGTCACTGACAGGACTGTTCTCCCTCCTCCCCCGGCAGTCGAGGGTGGTGTTCAGAACCCCCAAGACCGCCATTTCTCTCAATACCCCATCTCCCACCGCCCACCTTTCTCATCCACCCCCACCGCAAACCCCGACCAACTCAATCCACGCATCAAACCAGCTGCCGGTGGCAGCAGCAGTAGTAGCAACAATATCCCCGCGGGGAAAATGAACAACCGGGACCGGGTGCTGCTGCCGCCGGCCCACCCCTCATTAGATCCAGGCCACCGCAGAATTCCAGGAATAACCTACCCCCCAAATTTCCCCCATGTTCCCACTCCAGATCCTACATCTCCAGAGAGAGGGCTCCCGGGCGCCGTGGAGGTGCAGCAGTCCAGCAGCACCACGGGGATGGTGGTGGGCATCGTAGCTGCCGCAGCCCTCTGCATCCTCATCCTGCTCTACGCCATGTACAAGTACCGTAACCGGGATGAGGGCTCCTATCAGGTAGACCAGAGTCGCAATTACATCAGCAACTCGGCCACGCAGAGCAACGGGGCTCTGGTGAAGGAAAAACAACCCACCACTGCCAAGACAGTCACCAAGAACAAGAAGAACAAAGACAAGGAGTACTACGTCTGAGGAGCGCTGCCGTCACAGAAGATCAACGCACTTAGATAAGGAAAGAGACGAGAGAAAGACAGATGGAGAGAGRGAAGGCAGTGCCTCGAGGACCGCAATCACAAAGCGGCTTATTTATTTTAAACTCAGTATTGTAAGGAAACTAGTTGAGTTTCTCATTAATGCTCAAATCAGAACGATGCAAGGAAAGAAGATGGCATCATTTAAAGTTTAGACCTATATGTATTCTTTGATTAATTTGAGTAATTATGACCAAATGTTAACCCTGATGTGATTTAGGAAAAGGGTGCTACAATCTCAACATGTACTGTGCCAACACTTGAGTAACTGTAAATCACTGATTTATGAATTAAATTTTCACAATTAATTAAAATCCTGAGGTACTGTAGAAAAAAACAACAGTATTTGTGTAATGTCAAGATCGAGTACGAGGTGAAGATCAAAAGCTTAAAAATTCCGTCAAATTATTTTTAACAAGGCTCAAAATAAACAACTTCGTAACCCTCTGAGGTGTTATACCTTCTTTTTATGGAAGTACCCAAATTCAACTCTTCAACATTTGTCAGTTTTCCTAGGTTTCGGGTCAGTCGCCTCAGGAACAGGTTTCTCTCTCTCCCTCTCGTCAGACGGTGCGCTCTGTTTCTCTCCTTGTCTACGGTGCTCAGAAACCGATGCAACGCGAACTCTGCCATGTTTCAAGCATGTAGTATTCATTTACAAAAATGAGATAAAAATTTTTCTTTTCGTGAAGTTTAAACTAAAAAAAAAAGAAAAAGAAATAATTTTTTTTTGAAAAAACATGATGACGATTGATGGTCGTAACGTTAAACGTAGCAACAATGTGAGATTCCACCGCTCCAACCTAATGGATGCTAACATATACGTTTAGCCGCCAAAAACTTGTTGAGGCCAAAACCCCCCCTTTGGTCGTCTTTTGTTCCAGCAGATGTGTGTTGTGTGTTTTGGGAATGGTGGGGGCCAGCAGAGAGACTGTCACCTTCACACAGATAYTAATCGCCGAAAAACAGAAAAAAAAMCTCCAGCAAACCAGACGAACTTTGTTCTATATAACTATAAATATATGTATAGACATTGAAGAAACTTATGGACCTAAATTGTGAGCGAGTCTATAAGTGAGTTTGCTGACCGTGCAGAATGAAGATGGACTTTAGGATTTTCTTGACGTTGGAACAGTTTCAACACTCAGTCCCCTCATTCTGGAAACCTCTCACCTTCCCATGAACAGTACGGCTGATTAATGCCTCGCTGCAAGACTCAGTCGCTTTATTTTTATTTTTTCTGGTTTGTTTTCTTGGGGGGGATGAAAAGCACGAGACATTTTATGGTAATACAGAATTCAGTTTTGCTGGAGTTCCGCTGTTAAAGAGAGAGGTACCTTGCAGCAGAAAAAAAGAGACTGTGACTTTTGCCCTTCTCTTGCCTCCCTGGACTGACGGCAGCCAACAGGCAAAGCAAACTCCATGGGAAGAACACACAAACAAGAGGAGAACCGCACTTCCCTGGAAGATGTACAACTGAACTCTAGTATTCAAATTTTCTCAACTCTATTAAAAAAAAGTAAACTGAACCATAAAAAGAAAACTCCTGAAACAAGTTTGTGAAATGTCTAAATATTTGACTCTCATCCCATTACTAAGACAAATGTGTTTTCCCTRCTATCATTCCTGTTTGGAGAAAAAAATGACAATGATTCTGGGATACTAAAATTTCTATGTATTTTTTGTTTTTTATTTTTGATTTTTCTTGGTAACCAAGCTAATGTATTTTCAGTTAGAAACATAAAGCGGAGATACATTCGTCTTTTTTGCCGTTCTTCATAAATCATCCCTTTTTTAATTTATTTTATCAATTTTTATATATTTGTTTTTGTCTTGCTTCATTTCCTTGTATGTCAGATATTATGTTCCATGTCCAGAGGAAAACACTAGTTCTGTCCATGTTTTAATTTGTTTTATAGTCATCTCTGTCTGTATGCTGAGAGACACAATGGCAGCCATTTCATTTGAAGGACTCCATGATTTTCTCTCCGGTCATGTTTGTCTGGTTTCTTTCCTTTTTTCCATTTSAAACATACTCCTCCCAGTATCTTCCTGTTCTTTCTAAATGTTATTGTAAAGTGTTCCAGTGAGATGACTCTAAATATGTGTACATTAACAGAGGGAATACACTTGGTTATATACTTCTTACTCTCTGAGTCACGTGGTCTGTTCATGGTCTCCATGTCATCCAAACATGACATCTACAATTTTACTACTACCTGCCTGAAATTATCAAGGTTAGTAATCGATGGCCAGGCTCTTGATTTAAAGAAAACCTTAGACATCAAACTCACTAAGGGTGGTTTAGTTTAAAAACTGACAGGTTTTTAAACCAAGCCTGTGTAGTGAGGGGATAAAGAAGCCCTGTCAGGCAGGATGACCATTTTGTAAGCATGGCTTTGATTCACTTGTTTCTTTCCAGGTAAGGGTCATTGCAGATCAGTGCAGTTGTTTGAGTGATTATCTTACATGATAATGAAGTATTTGTACCTCAGCTGACGAGCTGAGGCGACACAACAATCCAAAAGGCAACACGGGTCAGTTAACGGTTCGATAAGTATGATGTTATCCATGAGCTATGTGTTCCCAATCACACGRCCTCCTAGCTAACAGGAAATAATGACTGTAATGGAAAAATTCTCCACCARCGCCACCATCTGAACACAAAATGAAAGACTGTTCTAGAAAAGTTTAAGCTTTAAAAAAAAACTAACTTGTTGTAGATGACTTTTTCAACAACCTCAGTTTGGAGAACCAATTTAATTCTGACCGGACCGACAAGCTCATGGCTAGTCTGAGCGAGACCAAAACCCAGGTGGATTGCTGCTGTTTTACAATAAAACTCCAGCATGAAAGATTTCATAGAAGCTCAAGCTAACGCTATTTTGTGAGTATTTACTTCGACACCAGGTTTGTATTATTGTGCTCATTTGCAATTTCAAGTAGCTGCAACAGTGAACTTCTGCTCTTCCTGGAGGACTTCTGGCAGAAGTATTACTGCATATTTCTACTGGGAAATGCAAAAAAAAAAGAAACAAACAAACAAAAAAGTTGTGAAACTTGGTGATATTGAAGTCATTTTAAATTTGACCTCAATCCACTTTGACCTTTGCTCTGCTCAGACTAGTATCCAGATAGCAAAATATGAGTGAATCAACGCTGAAATATGGTTAGGCATGAATGTTGAACCCATATTGAAATTATACAAAAAGTGATCGACAAACAGCATACATTGATTCAAAACTGATTAGACATTGGCATTTCAATCATTAGAATTTTACCGTGAAACATTGATTCAATATTGGTTATTTGGCTAGAATTGGATGATTGTTTGATGGTAGATCCACCATCAATCTTAACCAAAAACCAACTTTTTTGACCAAACATCAACATTGAACTAACATCGTTTGCTATCTGGGATTAGCTTGTAGGACTTCTGCCCCTTCSTAAAACCAATCCAAATGTATGGGTTTTGTTGGGGTAAATGTGTGTTTAAGTCATTACATAGATTCTTGAACTCAGCACGGTCAGTGCTAGAACTGTGCTAATCTAAAACYGTTTGAGCAGCACATTCAGGGTCCCTGTGTTTCTAAAAAGGACTAAAACCTATTTTTTTAAGAAGTTGCCTTTACTCAGCACCAACTATAAAACTGTCAAGTGTCTCGGGTGTTGCTGATGAAAAGTATTTCTACATGACTCYACAGTTCATTGTAGGATTAGAGTGATGCCAATCAAAGTTGTTTGGTTGATGCCACACCAAACATTTTGCATAAAAGTCAATGTTGGGTTTAAGCCTCATCTTTGTTTATATTTAATAAAGTATTTTGTTCTTTGTTCTGGCAGCTATAAAGCACAGCGTTTTGAAGTGCACAGCTTAAAGTGGTAGCCACGGACTAATGGTGCTATGGACAAAAATCTAAATTTTAGGAATTTTGCATTTTTTTCACGTGAATGGTCAGACAACAGTTCTTTGCTACCACTCAAAAATACTGAAATATTTAACGTTATAATTCAAACAATTCAGAAACATTCCACATAAACTAGTTCCTTGTTTTTGAAACCATTGCATGATGTCAAGTTTGGGTTTTAACCAATTAAGTTGAAGTTGAAGCCTTATTCTGCATCTTTCATCTTCTAACAATTAAAAGAAAAGACTTACAGAGATTGTCAAAATAATTCAGTCATCTTGGTGAAAATGTGTAAAAGTGATGGTGAACTGAAGGTAATGTACAAAACCTTTCAAGTAATCCAAAACCTGAAGCCCAGTTTTCACCKGCTCTCTGCTTTTGAACAGGACATGGGTAAGTGCTCCACTGCTGTAGTGGTGATTTATTCACAGTGCTAAAGCTTGAAGTGTTTCCACTCTTCAAAATCAATTTGGTCATCTTCATTGAAGGCTTATAAAGCACTATTTAATATGTGCTTGTTTATTCTAAACAGAAAGTAAGAAATATGACAATTTATAGCAAATATATAGGGGCAATTTAGAGTTACCARTTAACCTAACAGTCATGTTTTTGGTCCGTGGGACGAAGCCGGAGTACCCGGAGAGAAAATGCAAACTCTACCAGAAAGGTCCCCGGGTCTTGCTGAGGTGTTAGCTCTTCCAACTGAGCMACCGTGTCCATATGATGGACACGTCTGGCAATAAATAAATGTAAAATAGATTTTTGTACAGCTGTGACTGACCACTCTTTGCTTGTTTTCTGCTACATCTGCACAGGTTTGTACTATAAAGCATCACATAATGTATGTTTACGCAGATGGTCTTTGATATAACTGATAGAGAGATGAGATGCAAAAAGCCACAATAAATTGTTAACACAAACCACTACACAGCTTTAAAGAATAGAGTGGTTTTAGTTAAGAAAAAAGCCACTCATTTTGAGCATCAGGTTGGTTTCTCTTTCACAAACTGCTCATTCATCTATTTTCTACATTCTGCTCCTGTGCAACGTCACCGGTGCCTTTCTCTGGAAATTATCGGTCGGGGCCAAGATAACACCAGGACAGGACACCAGTTCATCAAAGCACCAAAAGCAAAAAAAATGAACCAGAATAAAAAGACTTGTTCATTTTTTCCATTGCAGCAGGTTGTCATTCTGGGTGAAGGAGACCGTAAGAGATGCTGACACAGCACTGGAAAACCAACACTGAACATGTTTACAAGACACAGGGACAACTCTACATTTTAATGAACCATTAGGCCTCCAGTGTCTGAAGCAACATGTGTAAATGTCTTCAGCAGCCATCTGTTGGAGCAGCAGCATCAGAGCCAGAGACTCAAAGAAAGTGAACAAATTGATAAAGAAGGATGACGGTGTGCTGCAGAGTGCTCTGTGCTCCCCAGAGACGACCAAGAGGAGGAGGAAGCTTCTCAACATAACGGATGGTGCTGCACACCATCTGCASATTTTACCCATGAGCTCAAGGAGTAACTTTAGGTGGGGACTTCTTTTTAGCTCTGCTGCAGACAGAGAAAAAAAAGAAGTGGGAAAGGAGGTCACTGCAGGAGAGGGTTTTTCAGTTCGATTTTTAGTTCAGTTCAAACACAGTAAGCAAACCAAAGTACACTCACCGGCCACTTTATTAGGTACACCTGTCCAACTGCTCGTTAACACTTAATTTCTAATCAGCCAATCACATGGCGGCAACTCAGTGCATTTAGGCATGTAGACATGGTCAAGACAATCTCCTGCAGTTCAAACCGAGCATCAGTATGGGGAAGAAAGGTGATTTGAGTGCCTTTGAACGTGGCATGGTTGTTGGTGCCAGAAGGGCTGGTCTGAGTATTTCAGAAACTGCTGATCTACTGGGATTTTCACGCACAACCATCTCTAGGGTTTACAGAGAATGGTCCGAAAAAGAAAAAACATCCAGTGAGCGGCAGTCCTGTGGGCGGAAATGCCTTGTTGATGCCAGAGGTCAGAGGAGAATGGGCAGACTGGTTCGAGCTGATAGAAAGGCAACAGTGACTCAAATAACCACCCATTACAACCAAGGTAGGCAGAAGAGCATCTCTGAACGCTCAGTACGTYGAACTTTGAGGCAGATGGGCTTCAGCAGCAGAAGACCACACCGGGTGCCACTCCTTTCAGCTAAGAACAGGAAACTGAGGCTACAATTTGCACAAGCTCATCVAAATTGGACAAGAGAAGATTGGAAAAACGTTGYCTGGTCTGATGAGTCTCGATTTCTGCTGCGACATTCGGATGGTAGGGTCAGAATTTGGCGTTAACAACATGAAAGCATGGATCCATCCTGCCTTGTATCAACGGTTCAGGCTGGTGGTGGTGTCATGGTGTGGGGAATCTTTTCTTGGCACTCTTTGGGCCCCTTGGTACCAATTGAGCATCGTTGCAAYGCCACAGCCTACCTGAGTATTGTTGCTGACCATGTCCATCCCTTTATGACCACAATGTACCCAACATCTGATGGCTACTTTCAGCAGGATAATGCGCCATGTCATAAAGCTGGAATCATCTCAGACTGATTTCTTGAACATGACAATGAGTTCACTGTACTCAAATGGCCTCCACAGTCACCAGATCTCAATCCAATAGAGCATCTTTGGGATGTGGTGGAACGGGAGATTCGCATCATGGATGTGCAGCCAACAAATCTGCGGCAACTGTGTGATGCCATCATGTCAATATGGACCAAAATCTCTGAGGAATGCTTCCAGCACCTTGTTGAATCTATGCCACAAAGAATTGAGGCAGTTCTGAAGGCAAAAGGGGGTCCAACCCGTTAYTAGCATGGTGTACCTAATAAAGTGGCCGGTGAGTGTATRTTGCAGCTTCTGTCTAAAACAAGCTTTTCTACTGAGGTTAAGTTGAGCMGCGTGTGTTTTGAGCTTCCCAGACCCACAAAAGTGAGTGATTCTTCATTAATAAGTTAAACAGAGTTACTCAAAGGTGCTTGCAGAAMTCTTTTCAGAGATTTAATCACGCTGAGAAGCAGGATCGAACCCTAAATCTCAGTTCGTCATCCCGGAGACGGGAGGYGGGTTAGTAAAAGTAAGGAAGGGAAAGAGAGCAACACCTCCGTGCTCCAGTTTGTGAGGAGTTTCCTCTCAATTTCATCATCCAATCTTCATTCCAACTGAGAGTAGAACCCTGTGGCTGTATTTCCCATTTACTCACCAA